ATTTTTTACAAACAATTTATTTGTTTTTTTACGTATTCCTTTTATGTAAATTTTTTTTTATGTATTTAAAAAAATACGTTTCCACATAATATGTTATTACATTGTTATGATCCTAAAACATATTTGTACGTTTTCATATTTAAACTTTTATGTATTTAAAAAAATACGTTTTCATATAGAAAATTTTTTATGTATTTATTTTATGTAAAGCATCTCTTTTTATATATTTAAAAAATATGTTTTCGTATCAAATGTTATTACATTGTTATAATCTAAAAATATACTTTTAAACACATAAAAAATGTAATAACATATTATACAAAAACGTAATAAAAAAACGTAGAAAAAGTGTTTTGTATACGACCCTCTTCTAGCATCTCTTCTTCCTCTTGTAGTTCAATTCCACCACTACCTCCCTCCGGATCAAGACAAAGAAACCAAGCAACAACTAATATATATGTTGCCTTGTTGGAGTTATGGTTTGCCAAACAGAGTAGCCGTCGGAGCCAGAGTTTTCATATTAGAGTTAGGGTTTGCTTAACAAAAATGGTGAACACCTACACCACCACCGGTGTCCACCTCCATTCCAAGTGAATAACCACAAACCCTGTTTTCTATCGTTCCTAGTTCAATATGTGAGTCGATTTCAAGAGTTTTTGCCATGGATTTATAGGGGTGTGTGTGTGTGTGTCGATTTAATGTTTTTTGCCTGTCGCTGATATAGGACAACAATCGTCGTTACAACAGCTGAAAAACCCTAATCATTATGTAACCTAATACTCGATATTAGTCCTTGAAATTCAAGAAACCAAATTTCGAAACAAAAGTTGGATTGTTTTCTAGTGGTCCATTACTGTAAGAAGTGGGTTCTGATTTCGGTTTAGATATAAAGACAATTTTTTTAAAATTTTTATATTTGTTCATCTTATTGTTCCTCCATATCTATTCATCTTGTTCTTTTTTCCGGTTCACAAAAAAATTGTATTAAATACAACATCACTATATCTCTCCGTATAATTTTGGGTTGAGATGAAGATATGAGACAGGTTTCATCCAGTGAGTTGTTTGATTATGTATAGTTGGGAAAAAAAATAAAGGACATATGTTTGTATGATAGGGAAGAAAAAGAAGAAACGAGGTTTACATGAAGAACACTATCCTGATGTTTTTCAGTTTGTGTAACCTCAAGAGAAGAAAATATTAAAAAATATATAGTGAATGGGTGTGCGTGTCGATTTCAAGTTTTTTTTTTGCCAATCATTGATAGTGTACAACAATTGTCGTCCACAGGTGAAAGCAGACGGAGGTGGCAACGGAGAAGGCCCAGCCGGAGGCAAGGTGATCAGGTAGCACGGACAAGGCAATCAGTGGCGACCCTAGTTTTCGAATTTTTCAGTTTGGTGGTGGGAAGATGGGGTTTTGTCTAGCCAAAGAGTAAAAAAAGAAGATCGAGAGAGGAAGAGGGGTTGGGAGTGGGAATGATGAATTAGGTGGGACGGCATGGGATTTTTTGGTTTATTTAATTATGAAAATAAGAAATCTTAAGAAAATAGATAAAAAATATTAAAAAACAATATAGGGGTATATTCATCATTTTAGGTTGTGTATGGAATTTTAGATTGTGTGTGGACCAAAACCACAACAACACTAAGAACCAAACAACAAAAATCTTCAAAATTAGACTGGTAATAAACAACTAAACTTTTTTTTTGCATCAAACTACTTACTTTTCATTTTGACAAGCATTTTTTTTACAATTTTCTCTAATAAATAAAGATTTACATATCAACGTATCCACGATGGATCCACTTTATTTTTAGGTTGGCCATAATTAATACAGCACCAGGTAAACCCAATATCTTAGCTTTTTAGGTTCACACATAAATACAATTACACATCCATTAATTTCGCTCACTCAGCCATGGAGTTCTATCTCATAGTATCAATACTTGTTGCAACAATCTTCTCTATTCTTGTACACCGTTTATTACTTCATATCCTCCACAGAAAGAGGGTAAAGAACCAAAAACCACCACAAGCAAAAGGGGCATGGCCGATAATCGGACACTTATACCTTTTAGGTGGGCCTGATCTACCTCACAAGGTTTTAGGTGACATGGCAGAAAAACATGGCCCTATTTTCACCATTAAGCTTGGTGTTCATCAAGCTTTGGTGGTAAGTGATGCAGAGATTGCTAAGGACTGCTTTACTACCAACGACAAGGCTTTTGCAAGTCGACCGAAAACGGAGGCATCAAAAATCATGGCCTATAATTATGCGGTGTTTGGCCTGGCTCCATATGGGGACTATTGGCGAAAAGTGCGCAAGATGGTCGTGTTGGAGGTTCTTTCTCAACGAAGAGTTGAGATGCTTGGACATACTCGAGCTTCAGAAGTTAGAGCATCCGTTAAAGAGTTATATGATGGGTGGGTAGCGAATAAACTTACTGAAAGTTCAGAGTCACAGATGGTAAAGGTGGAGATGAGTCAATGGTTTGGGAACTTGGTTTTAAACATTATGGTTAGGATTGTTTCAGGAAAGAGGTTTTCGCCAAATGATGAAGAAGGGGTTCGATTTCAGGCTGTTGCAAGGAAATACTTTGAGTTGTTTGGGGCATTTTTGGTTGCTGATTTTATACCTTATCTCAACTGGTTGGATGTGGGTGGATACAAAAACATGATGAAGAATACTGGGAAGGATTTGGACAATATCTTTGATCGATGGTTAAAGGAGCACAAACAGGAGAGTAAGTCTATACAGCAACATGAAGCGAACCAAGACTTTATGCATGTGCTAATTTCCATTCTTCGAGGTGCTTCTAAAGAGGACTTCCTGGGTTTTGACCATGATACAATTATCAAAGCGACAAGTCTAGTACACTCAACCTTTTTATCTCATTGTTTCGTGATTACATTAAATATTTCTTCAGTCTTTTAACTATATAACCTAATCCAAGAGTGTTTAATTGGTGTAAATTCCTGTTCACAGCAAGTCCTGGTAGCAGGCGTAGACACGACATCGGTGACATTAACGTGGGCTTTAACATTGTTGCTCAACAACCCAAAAGCGTTAGAAACTGCCCAAGATGAAATTGATGAGCATGTTGGAAGGGACAGATTGGTGGAGGAGTCAGACCTGAAGAACTTAGTCTACGTCGATGCCATCATCAAAGAAACTTTGCGATTATACCCTGCTGGACCTCTCTCTGTTCCTCACGAGTCAGTGGAGAACTGCATTGTGGGTGGCTACAACATTCCAAAAGGAACTCGGCTAGTGGTAAATCTTTGGAAGTTGCAACGTGACCCAAATATCTGGTTAGATCCCAACGAATTCAAGCCTGAGAGATTCTTGACCAGTCACAAGGATATTGATGTCAAGGGAAACCATTATGAATTGCTTCCTTTTGGTAGTGGTAGAAGAATGTGCCCTGGTGTTTTATTTGCCCTTCAGGCTTTGGGTTTAACGCTAGCTAGTTTGATACAACAGTTTGTGCTCAAGAAACCATCAAACGAACCTGTTGATATGACTGAAAGCATGGGTATGACTAACGGCAAAGCAACACCACTTGACGTCCTTTTCGGCCCTCGTTTATCCTCTAATATGTATGATATTGGTCCATGATATACCAATTTCAAAGCGCCTACAAACCCACTCCATTATCATTCTCTATAAAGCCATCAATTATGATGGGGGCAAGCAAAATAACCCAATTTGGACAGCAAATGTGGAACATGATCGATCTTCAGTATGCTTTTAGAATACTCCTATTACTTATATAGTTAATAAAGCTTGATAATTATTATGTAATGAAGTCATGTGGTTGCATTCTACTCATCTCGTTTATATATGTGTTGTGTACCGATCATTTTCATAAGAGAGTGTTACAAAAAATATTTGTCAATTAGATTAAATGAATGGATGATTATGATGAATAATGGCACCCCGGTAGATAATGGAAGAATATTGAAGTGTTTTCCTTATTGAAACAACCGTAAGGTATATTAGAAAATATGTTTAACAACTAATAAGGAAATGTGGATGTTCAGGAGTACAAAGACCTAAGTCAATCAAATTTTAAAAATACATCAGAAACTCCATTAACAATGAATGATGATGATTTTGTTGCCCTACCGGCTCAAGGTTAGGTTCACTTCTGCTTAAGCTTCTAACCGAATTTGAAATTTTCAATTTTTGAAAGAATGGATGTTTAACTAAGCTGGATGTGAAGCTGCATTCTCTAAAATTTGGAACTTAAATTAGGGTTTTTCAACATTTACATTTACATTTTTCTTATTAAAACATTGTACTTGGAAAACCATAACCAATTCTAGCATTCTAATTTCAATTTAATCTTAACAATCATAGAATTAAACGTACATTACTTCACCAAAATCAGAAAATCTAACATACCTTTACTTCACAAAAATCACAAAATTAAGGTAATTGACCTGTAAGGAAAGGAGTCCATTTTCTTATTAAGAGGAGGAATGGGAAGTGTAGAATTCAAGGTAATTGAAACAGATCCATGAGAATACAACAACAACACTTTGTTCATGCTTCAGCCAATTTTCTATCAATCTACATCATTAGTTGATTACAGTGCAATAACCAAATAAGAAACAAAAAACATCCACCTCTAATCCATACACAAAACCTACAAATCACATGAGCAATGACCAAATCATAAACCAAAAATGAGCTAATCTGAATCCAATCCTACATCAGGTTATTTGGGCTATTTAATGAAAGAAAATCGAAAATAAAAACCTACAAATCCAAAATCCAAAATCCAAAATCAAGAATGATGAGAACGATGACAACAGGGAACCGATCGGTGGTAGAGGGGCAGATGGATGTATAACAGAAGGTATGAGTATTATTGGGATAGGAAGCGACGGGAAGATGTTGAAGCACCAGGTCGGAGAGACAGGGAGGCGACGGTGGCTAGGGTAGCAGCGGCGGTGTCGATGGCGGGGCTGGCAGCGGCAGTGTCGCTGGAGAGGCTGGCAGCAGTGGTGTCGCTGATAGAGGGAGGCAGAGGGAGCGTTGAAGATCGAGTGGGAGGAAGAAAGGGCAGTAGTGTCGTGGAGTATAAAGAATAGAAGAGGGATACGTGTGTCTTTTTTTATTTCAGACATGGTTCCAAGTCTGAATTTTTAAGAGCCTATTGATTAATTAAGAGGTTTTTATTAAGATGCTATCAAACATGCTGAATCTGAAAAATTAAGAGTTTGTCTCTTAATTTCTCAATTAAGAGGCTACCAAACAGCCCCTAAGTAACGTTCATATTTGTTGCATCTTTTTAGGAGAAGGCTTCTTCTTTCTTTGACTGAATAAGGAAGTTAGTGGTTCCACTAGGATCCACGTTTATGTTTTTTAGCATGCATGTTCCTTAATTTTCATAAATAAATAGCTTTACTACATCTTAATTCCATCCATAAAAAGTAAGCATGTTCCTTTTGTTTAGGGATTAGTTAATTCCTAGGATCTATATATTGTTTTTGACTGGTGAATGAAATATTCAGATAATTGCTTCAAATTGGTGTTCTTATCAATCCTTCTTCCTCCTTAGAGATTCACCCACTCAACGGGTTGTATCATTTTTGGTGCTTTCATTTCTCATTCTCACCATGCCTACGAAACCAGATTCCACTTCATCCGCTTTCACAGCTGACACCAAACCTCCCTCTTTAGAAAATTCCATGGCCAACATGGTTGATAACATCACCCAACTAGTAACCTCTTCCACTACCAGCCAAAGAGGTTACTAGTTGTGTCAACGGTTACAAGAATCATGAAGCGACTCTTTTTAAACTCCAACAAACAACAACAGTGGCAACATGTGAGGCAGAATTCGAACAAATCATTAATTGTGTCAACGGATTGGATAATGAGGTACTCCTCAACTGTTTCCTCTAAGGAATCCTCAACAGTGGCAGCATATTCCCGCTCTTACACTATCACCAACCCGACAATACCACAAGTGACCACCTACATAAAACCAGTCCCGCCCAAAAGTAACACCACCATATCCACCGGTGTCCTTCCAAAACCCCTAACCACCAATAAAACCTTACCCCTTACACGATTGACCCCCGAAGCATTACAAAAACGCCGATCAGAAGGATTATGTTTCAGATGTCCAGAAAAGTACACCCCTGGTCACAAGTGCAACCCACTACAATTTACGTTAATTGTGTACAACGACGACCAACATGCCACCGACGACCTTACAATATAGGACACACCAACTACAGACCCACAAATATTCGTGCTCTCGACGGTGGCATTCTTTGGATTGGCATCCCCACAAGCATTGCGAACCACTGGGTACATATGAAGTCACCCTGTTCTGTTTTAGTAGATTGTGGTAGCACTCATAATATAATAAACCAAAAGTTGGGTCGTTCTTCAAATTAAACGAAAACCCAATACCATAATACCCTGTAATGGTAGGAAACGGCACTAGTATCCGTTGTAATGGAGTCTGCCCTAACCTGTGCATCCATCTCGACCTCAGTACCTTCACGATCCTTTGTTTGTATTACTAGTTGAAGGCGCATACCTAATATTACGGGTGGCCTGGCTCTGAACCTTGGGGCATATCTTGGCATATTTTGCACTCCTCAAATAACATCTAATGTCGGCCCAAAGGCCATCACCCTAGGAGGCGAAACCAACTCCAACTTTGTCTCTAGCCCACAACTCCAAAACCTAATCCACACCGACAGCGTTGCATCCCTCCACGCACTGTACTTCCAACTCGAGACCAATACACCTCCAGCTCTAGACACACTACCCCACCACCCCGACCCCACTATACACCACCTTGTCCAATACCACAGCCCTATTTTCGACATACCCACCAATTACCCCCATTTCGGTCGCAAGACCATCGCATTCCCACACACCCAACAACTCCTCCAATTAACATAAAGCCATACCACTACCCACACTACCAAAAACAGATTATGAACAAGATAATCACTGATATGCTTGCTGACGGGGTAAGTCAACCAAGCCAAAGTCCCTACTCATCACCAGTACTCCTCGTAAAAAAAAAGATGGCACATGGCGATTTTGCGTTGATTACCGAGCTCTCAACACCATTACAATCAAGGATCGTTTCCCCATCCCGACTATCGACGAACTCCTTGATGAACTCTATGGTGCCTCTGTTTTCTCGAATATTGACCTAAGGGCCGACTATCACCAAATACGAGTAGCAACAAACGACATTCACAAAACAGCATTCTGGATGGTAGATGGCCATTATGAATTATTGGTTATGCCCTTCGGGCTATCAAACGCGCCATCCACATTCCAAGCAACAATGAACGACCTTTTAGATGCAATGCTCCAACGGTATGTCTTGGTTTTCTTTGATGATATCCCCGTATACATCACTTCCTTGCAACAACATTACATTCACCTGCAAAAAGTTTTGGAACCCTTAGCCCACCAAGAATTACACGCTAAGTATTGTAAATGTCAATTTGGTGTCACCAAAATTGACTATTTGGGTCACATTATCTCAGCATTTGGAGTGGCTGCCGGCCCAGACAAAATTCAAGCAATCCAAGCCTGGCCAGCCCCATCGTCGTTCACAACCTTAAGAGGCTTTCTGGGCCTCACAGGCTACTACCACTGTTTTGTCCGACACTATCCCACCATTGCTGCCCCCTTACCGATCTATTGAAACTCAAGCAGTTTTTATGGACACCAGAAGCACAAGCGGCATTTGATAACCTCAAAAAAACCATGGATACGAGAATCAGCTTAACCCTCCTGGATTTAAACAAACCATTTGACATCACCACGATGCTTCAAACTTAGTCATAGGAGCATTCCTTTCTCAAAATGACCAGCCTAATTCCTTCTACAGCAGGAAATTATGCCCTCATATGCAGTCAGCCTCAGCCTAATTCCTTCTACAGCAGGAAATTATGCCCTCAAATGACGACAATACTTATTGGGACGAAAGTTTTGTATCTTTACGGATGAAAAAAGTCTCAAACATTTGTTAACACATGTAGTACAAACTCCAGAGCAGTATAAATGGGTCACAAAACTAATTGGATTCGACTTTGAAATTTTCTATAAGCTAGGAAAAGAGAACAAGGTCGCAGACGCACTTAGTCGAATTGAAGAGGCTTAACTCCTTGCAATTTCGTCCACAAAACCAACTTGGTGGACTGAATTATAAGCCTATTATCAAACACCATCAAGTCTACAACTCACCAAGCGACTTCTAGAGACATAAAAAGACAACTGATTTCACATGCGCAATGGGCTCTTGTATCACCACCACTGACTCTTCGTACCTGACCATGAACAAATCTGACACCATTTACTTACAGAATATCACGTAACAACACTTGGATGACATTCTAGAGTCCTCACCACGACTCAACGTCTGGCAGCCGCCTTTAGCTGGCGTAAACTCAAAGTAGCAGTCTGTTTGTTCATTCATGAGTGCGAAGTTTGCCAGGAAACAAAATACCCAACACACAAACCTTATGGGTTGCTACAACCAGTTCCAATACCAACACATGTTTGGTGCGACCTCTTCATGGATTTTATAACTCACCTTCCCTTGTCAGAAGGAAAAACATGCAAAACATTTATCTAAGTCATAGTAGATCGCTTCTCTAAGTTTGCACATTTCGTGAGCATGCCCTCTACATTCACAACGCAGACTCTTGCAACAACCTTTCTTCAACAAATTTATTCAACAGATTTACAGGTTG